TTGTGTGGCAGTGCACAGTAGAAAGTTGTTTTCACATATTCCTACATTAAAACATTGATTGTAACCATGATATATATGTGCTTCAGCCTACAGTTTAGACCTATTGTCTTATGTATGACCCTCTGTCCTGCGTGACAGTGAATACCAGCATTATCCTCACTTTAATAAGACTTAATTGATATCCTCAGATTAGGCAAAATTGTAATTAATTTTGTCAATAAAGATGTTGATAATAATAAATGTTTAGATCTAATCAGGTCTTTCCTAAATCTAAATTTATACCCATTATTTCGTATTCCTTTTGAGTTGATACTTGTAATACCCTATTAACATCCCCCTTTGTTATGTCCATTCATCCACTTGTAAACCTCTATCATGTCACCCCTAACTCTTCGCCTTTCCGGTGAATGCAACTTAAGCTTTGTTAATCTCTATTCAAATGACAGATTTCTAATTTGGGGAATTAACTTTGTCATCCTACGCTGGACACGTTCAAGTGAACAGTGAATACCAGCATTATCCTCACTTTAATAAGACTTAATTGAAATCCATTCTATAGTACGGCGACCAAAACTGAACTGCATAATCTAAATAGGGCCTAACCAGAGCAAGATATAGCTGAAGAACCACACCAGGTGTCTTGTTACTAACGCTTCGATTAATAAATCCCAGTGTCCTATTTGCCTTATTACGAACATTTACGCATTGATTTTTTGGTTTTAAATTCTTACTAATCATAACTCCCAGATCCCTTTCACAATCTGAACACCATCTAGCTCGTACTTTGAAACTTTATCATCATTACCAGGCTCAAAACCTGGGGCCAGATTCACGAAAGCACTTACGCAAGCACTTACGAACCTGTACATCTTTTCTCAATCTTTGTCGGCTTTGTTTCCAATTATTAAACAGTTAATGAGCTCCGAAGCACCAGGAGGCTGTTTATAACAATAACAACAGTTGAATGGGAAGTTTTCATGCTTGTAAACTGTCTAATAAATGTAACCAAAGCCGTCAAATATTGAGGAAAGATGTACACGTTCGTAAGTGCTTGCGTAAGTGCTTTCGTGAATCTGGCCCCAGGTTATTAAGATGATCAAGCCAGATGTTGAAGTGGATGAATGATTGGCAGATACAGTTTAATGCTGACAAATGCTTCGCTTTGAGGCAGGTAGTGATGATTAGGGTAGCAGATATCAGTTTGACACGGTTCAAATTGGGAAATCATAGCGCGGAAAACGAGGGGAAGACATCACTAGTATGGATATAAACCAAAGAACTATACATATATCGATATAGGATTCTAGAATATATTTCGAGAAGCGTTAACAATGCAACAACTTATGTTATTCTCAAGCTTTATCTTCATTTTCTTGGCCCCATTTGGATTATGCAGGTCAATGTTGTCGCCATATTAGAGAGTGGACGTAACCCCTTGAACCAGATATATCTTGAGGTTATCTTGAGATGATTTCGGGGCTTTTTAGTGTCCCCGCGGCCCGGTCCTCGACCAGGCCTCCACCCCCAGGAAGCAGCCCGTGACAGCTAATACCCAGGTACCTATTTTACTGCTAGGTAACAGGGGCATAGGGTGAAAGAAACTCTGCCCATTGTTTCTCGCCGGCGCCTGGGATCGAACCCAGGACCACAGGATCACAAGCCCAGCGTGCTGTCCGCTCGGCCGACCAGCTCCCTTTATGGGAGATGAGTGAAAGTCCACTCCCCAGATGAGTGAAAGATTACAACTAACTGGCATTCACACTTCCCTGGAATATACATTCCAGTCATTAGATTCCTGAGTGGAGTCTAAGAGACTCGAACCGTTGACCTCATGGTTGTGAGGCCGAAGTTCAATCGAACGAGCTACTGATTAATCTTAATAAGTAATTAATCTACTGATTAATATTAATAAGTTTCCAGAAGGCCCATCCTACTGCCACACTGGGAGTGTCGACTTTCCCCGCTCTCAACTACTGAAGCTCACAAGGATTACTGACCCACGACCACGGTCCAAGCTCGATTTGGCCTCACACAGGTGGGGTCCGCGGTTCGAGTTTCCTAGAGCCCAAGTGAATGGAACGGTTATAAAGTTAATCTCAGGGATTAAAGAGATTAAATGTGTCTAATTTCCATTCAAGAGGCAGCTAAGAAGTTCTGGATGACCTGACTGATGTAAACAAGTGGATGGGTGGGCATAACAAATAGGACATTGATCAGGTCTACAAAGGCCTTGATCAGGGTTCGAACCTATGTTCTGAAGTGAAGGCAACTATCAGGAAAAACCGCCAAGCCATTAGACTATATAGCAATGGAAGATGTCGGGGGAGACATCTCCCGTCACCACGGGGGAGACATCTCCCGTCACGCCACGGGGGAGACATCTCCCGTCACGCTACGGGTGAGACATCTCCCGTCACGCCACGGGGGAGACATCTCCCGTCACCACGGGGGAGACATCTCCCGTCACGCCACGGGGGAGACATCTCCCGTCACACCACGGGGGAGACATCTCCCGTCACTCCACGGGGGAGACATCTCCCGTCACGCCACGCGGGAGACATCTCCCGTCACGCCACGGGGGAGACATCTCCCGTCACGCCACGGGGGAGACATCTCCCGTCACACCACGGGGGAGACATCTCCCGTCACACCACGGGGGAGACATCTCCCGTCACACCACGGGGGAGACATCTCCCGTCACACCACGGGGGAGACATCTCCCGTCACACCACGGGGGAGACATCTCCCGTCACACCACGGGGGAGACATCTCCCGTCACACCACGGGGGAGACATCTCCCGTCACACCACGGGGGAGACATCTCCCGTCACACCACGGGGGAGACATCTCCCGTCACGCCACGGGGGAGATATCTCCCGTCACACAGGGTGCAGTCACACCTCCACAGATCTCCAGTATCAGCTCTTGATACTGTTAATGGCTCAAAAGGGCCACCACTTACGGGCTATTCATGCCCGTGCCACCTCTTGGGTGGCTCAATCTTCATCAATCAATCTGAATAAGGATTTGGGATGGGACGAGTGGAAGGAATGGATTGGGTACCTATGTGCTGAGTGTTCCCAAATGCTCTCTAGTCAACTCCACCACGACATGGTAAAAGAATTGCAACCTGGAGTGCTACTGACCCCACCAGGATCCCGAAACTTCCACTGAAGCCTAACCGGGGGGTCACACAACTCCCCCCCCCCCCATGCACCCGGGTTCTGCCAGCCAAATAGTTCTGCCTCTGACTGAAGTTGATACTTCAATATATTATTAAGGTGTTAAATATACAACACAAAATAGAACACAAAACAATGGATAAAAGTGGATAACTTTACGTTCGGGTAAATATACCTGGATAAATACTGGTTTGGAAATAGGTTGATTGATCTATGGAACATATTAAGAACATAAGAATAGCCCTCAACTCATGAGGCCCTTCACATGTCCTTTTGGGGACTGTAAGCCCCAAAGAACTCAGTATATAGGCAAGACAACAACGTCTCTTTCCAGGCGATTAACAATGCACAAACAACAGGGCTCCATCAAGGAACATATTATCTCTTCACACAACCAGACCATCACCAGAGAAATCTTAACAAGCAACACAGAAATCATCGATAAATACAGCGATAGCAGGAGACTCAACATCAGCGAGGCACAACACATCAAAAAGTCAACACCAGCAATCAACAGCCAGTTAATGCACAACTATATTCTACCCACTTCAAGACTCCAAACCAATATAGAAGAGGCCTATTAGCCCATACTTCCAAGAGGAAGTATGGGCTAATAGGCCTTCTGCAGTTACTTCCATTCTTATGTTTTCATATCCAATTTATACTCATTGATTCGTAACACACAGAAATCACAATTGCCTGATGCATCAAATGAACAAATCCACAAGGGCCGTGACGAGGATTCGAACCTGCGTCCGAGAGCATCCCAGACACTGCCGTAATCGACTGAGCTACGACATGGTCAAAAGGAGTTGAAACCGAAGTTCTACTGAACTTACTGGATCCTGCAGCCTCTCCGAGGCACAAACCTGGGTTTTACACAACTCCCTGCAGGATCCAGTAAGTTCAGTAGAACTTCGGTTTCAACTCCTTTTGACCATGTCGTAGCTCAGTCGATTAAGGCAGCGTCTGGGATGCTCTCGGACGCAGGTTCGAATCCTCGTCACGGCCATTGTGGATTTGCCTATTGATTCGTGTTCTGGCATAACTTTGTCACCTCACCCAAAACTTTTGTACCATATTACCTCACCCAGAACGAGTCTAAGTATGATGTATGTTATATATAAACTAGTCTTTGAAAATGTAATAAGCATCACAAAACGCTTTCAGGCGTCAGACCAAAAATAAAATAATGAATTTTGGAGAGTTAATTTTTATATTACCCTCGACAGTGAAGAAAAACGTAAGAAAATTGAGAAGATTCGGTTAGAATTAATCTTGACCTTTCGGTCATATTCAACAATAAATAAATATATATGTATATATATATTTGGGATGCCAATTATATATATATATATATATATATATATATATATATATATATATATATATATATATATATATAAAATATATATATATATATATATATATATATATATATATATATATATATATATATATATATATATATATATATATATATATATATATATATATATATATATATATATATATATATACATATATATATATACATATATGTATATATATATATATATATATATATATATATATATATATATATATATATATATATATATATATATATACAACTTTAGA